CGCGCGGTCCACGCGCCAGGAGCGCGCTCTTGGCCTCGGCACCTCCGAACGCAGCACGTGCGAGTCTTGCAGGGGCCACGTTCAGATCACGGCACCGGCTCCAGACAGATGAATGACTTTTAAACACTGACCTGGACGGGCATTCCAGCAGGATCAACTGCTCGAAACAAAACACAGCCGTCGCCTGCGGTGGCCACTTTCTAGGACCTTTGTTGCAACGGAGACCTCCACGTCCACTGACGAGACGGGTTGCACTGCTTCCTGTTTGGCGGGTTCTGTCTGTGCTATTATTCAACAGAATGGCCTGTTTCCTAAAAGGTTCAGAGAGCCCACCCGTGACCAGGGAGTGGACTTCTGCCCCCTAAAAGGGGCATGGAGCTATCACCTCCTCAGTTCTCCCTCAGTTACGAGACTCTATTCTGGGTTTGTTTGTTTTTGAGTCAGGGTCTCATTCTGTCACCCTGGTTGGAGTGCAGTGGCACAATCTTCGCTCACTACAGCCCCCACCTCCTGGGCTCAGGTGCTTCTTCTGCCTCAGCCTCTGAGTAGCTGGGACTACCAGCACACCTGGCTGATTTTTTTTTTCTTTTTTTGTAGAGATGAGGTCTCATGTTGACCAGGCTGGTCTCGAACTTTTGGTCTCAAGTAATCCTTCCAAAGTGCTGGAGTTACATGTGGGAGCCGCCGCGCTCCATGTATTCTGAGTTTTGTGACTCACTAGTTCCTGCCCCTCTGGCTGAAGCGACCACCACTCGGACACCATCGTGCAGCCTTTCCCGCAGTCCACGGCACCCACTCCCAGCATCTTCTCTCTGCAGGCGCTCAGCACCTCCTGTCACAGCCAATTCACTCCCTTCCATTCTTCCTCTGTTGCTAGTTTTCCAACTCTGAAATGGTAGTTTCCTGTCCTTCTGTTTTGCAGTCTATTTCTTCTTGCATTTTTGCTGTTTTTTTCTCCTTTTCATCTTTCCTAAAGCCTTAAATTGAATGGCAAATTCATGCTCTTATACACTAAATACTTCTTTGCCCACATTATACAAGTTTAATTATATAGTATTTTAATTTTTCTTATTTTCTAAGTAGAAATACTTAGTTACTGGATATTTGCTATACAACATCTATTTAGAAGACGGCATACTACTTAGAAGGCTGAGGCGGCAAGACCACCTGAGCCCAGCAGGTCAAGGCTATGGTGGCTGTGAGTGTGCTATTGCACTCCAGGCTGGGTGACTACTAGAGTGAGACTCCAACTTGAAAAAAGAAGAAGAAGAAGAAGAAGAGCTTGAGCCCAGGAGACCAGCCTGGGCAATATAGCAAGACCTTGTCGCTATAAAAAATTTTAAGAATTAACCAGGGGTGGTGGCATGTGCCTGTAGTCCCGGCTACTTGAGAGCCTGAAGCAGAAGAATTGTCTGAGCCCAAGAGGTCAAGGCTGTGATTGTGCCACTGCACTTCCAGCCTAGGTGACAGAGTGAGACCCTGACTCAAAAAAAAAAGAAAAAGAAAAAAAAGAAACCACCCCAGACTAAATAAATAAATAAATATTTTTGTAACTATGTTAATTAATTATTGTTTTATATTCATATAAGTATATATGTAAATGTCCTCGTTCTATGCCAACATTTAAACTGTCCTGTCTCCTGCTGCTCATAGCTTTTTTAAATAAAAAACCAAATAGTTTTTAAAAACTGACAAGAGTCAAGTTTTTATTTTTAAAAGAGTATAGTTTGCAAAAACAAAGTAAAGCATTTTTCTACTTAAAATGTACTTTTGGGAGGTTTAAAAATACTTCAGTTATAAGCCTAGAGAAAAGTTTGTGGATAAATTATAAACCCATAAAAACTGAGTTTAAAACGCAAACGCTGACACCAGCCCTATAGCACAGGAAGGAAGCCCATGTAAATTAAGAAAAACTTGAAGAATGGGGCCAAAGGTGAATCTTTCACTATGTTCAAGTTTTAACATCAACACCTGCTGAGTTTCCAAAATCTTCACTTTCTAGACTCAACTGGCAGCTTATGCATGAAGAAGCATGACTGCCAATAAAGCTTAACTACCCCACATGGTTGGAGACAACGACATTGGAGGCTGGACCTGGCGCAAAATGAAAGATCTCGATGCTGCTTTCCAGTGCCTAGTAGGACCATCTTTTTAGACCAAGTGGAGTCAATGGAGGAATCAGAAGAGACCTTACAGCACTCCTAGAAGCAAAGGACAATGCGAAGTCTATTAAATTCATATTTGATGTGTATAAACAGAGAATTCCAGGTCAAGTTAACAAAAGTCTAACTTAAGTCATGTGAAAAGAATCATAGATCCTCTATCACCTCCCAGATACCCAGAACCCACAGATGGAAGACAGGTCCCTGTGAGGAAGGACCCGCCACACTGCCAAAAATTTATACTGTACCGTTTCAATCTTTCTCCCAGCTCATCCCCAAAAGGACTTGTGGCCTTTTATCAAGGTGACCGTGCATTGGCTCTGAGCTGGCATTAATTCCAGGAGACCCAAAACGTCCCTGTGGTCCAGCAGTCAGGACAAAGCTGAGGAGGCCAGGCGACCAAGGGGCGTCAGCTCTGGCTGGTCACCAGCGGACCAGCAGGCAGTGACTCACCCTGGGGTTGCTTCCCCCATCGGAGCGCATGACTGAAACAGACGTACTCAACAACTGGCAAAATCCTCACATACTTCCAGAATGTTCCCAATTTGGCAAAGGGCACCATACCCCTTTAACTTACAAAATCATCCCCAGCAAGAACCCGCCCTCAAAAGATTTTTAAACAAACAAAAGAAATCTGACTTATTTAAAAACTGCCAGCACCATCTATTCCAATCCAGTTTTCTTAACTACAAGTTGAGGCAACTAGGAAGCTCTGTAACTATGATAACCAACCTTGACACCTTGATACTAAGTGAAACTAATCTAGAAAACCAGAGGGAATGTTCAAACAAGTCAACCAGCTTTACTCCAGTCACAGCAGCTGCAGACATGCTCAGGGGCACAGACGGAACTCATGAAGTCCATTAACTTCCACTTGATTTTGACCACAAGCCGGGAATGGGGTGTATTTAAATGAGTGACTGTGTGGGAGTAAACAAAGATCACCAAATACTGTCAGGAAAATCCTCAGCTAATACTAATGACCTGTAATATTACTTCAGTCAAGAAATCCTAACCGTGTAATTTAATAACACCCCTTTTCAGAGAATACACACCAGTTCCCCAACAGCGAGACAACTACGGTCCTGGAGTCTGCCCATGGAAGGCCGTGTAACTCACTCAAGACTTGGTGCATATAATCAGAAAGACAGACAAGTGTTGGCAAGCATATGGGGCGTATCTAACCTTCATATGTTGCTGGTGGACATGTAGATGGTGCAGCTGCTTTGGAGACCTGTCTGGCAAGGACCGAGTGAACATGTGCACAGAAAACTTGAATACTAGTGCTCACAGCAGCATTATTCATAATGGCCAAAAAACCAGAAACAATCCAAATACCCACCAACGGATAAATGGATAAACAAAATGTGGTTGTGTTTACAAGTGTGGTTTGTATACAACTGGAAAGTTATTTGGCAATAAAATGTGCTTTTGTATGTGATGGAATATTATTTGGCAATAAAAAGAAATGAAGGACTATTCCACACTGCAACACAAATGAACTGGCGTAGTGGCTCATGCCTGTCATCCTAGCACTCTGGGAAGCCTAGGAGGGAGGACTGCTTGAGACCAGGAGTTTGAGACCAGCCTAGGCAACACAGTGAGACCTTGTCTCTACAGAAAAATAAAAAAATAATCCGGTCGTGGTGGTGTGCACATGTAGTCCAGCTACTTGGGAGGCTGAGGCAGAAGGACTACCTGAGCCCAGGAAGTTGAGGCTATGGTGAGCCGTGACAGAGCGAGACCCCCTACTCCAAAAAGCAAACAAAAAACCATGAAGGAACCTTGAAAGCATGATGCTAAGTGAAAAACATCAGCCACAAAGGAGCACGTATTGTACCATCTCATTTACATAACTTGTCCAGATTTAGCCAGTCCACAGAGATCAAAAGTAGATTAGTAGTTGCCTACTACTAAGTGGCTTGGGGAGATGGGACTATAAGAGGTGACCGCTGAAGGTGACGGCTTCTCTTTGGGGTGATGAAAATGTCCTAAAATGTTACGATTACACAACCCCATAAATACAGTGATGGCCACTGAATGGTACAAAAATCACATGAGCTGTAAAAAGACCCCATGAGCCTGACAGACCGGCTGAATAAAGGAACTGCGACTGCCCCAAGACATGCTTCCAAGTGTCATCATAACTCCTGCCCTCCAGAGCTCCCAGTCATCTAGGAAGAGGACTGGACTCCCACTTTCTCCCTCTAATTTTCAAGTCCTTTATCCCAGGGGTCCCCAACTCCTGCGCCACGGTCCATGGCCTGGTTCCCATGACCCATTAGGAATTGGGCCACACTGTGTGGGCGGGCAAGTGAGCAAAGCTTCAGCGGTGTTTACAGCCACGCCCCATCGCTCGCATGCCCGCCTGAGCTCTGCCTCCCGTCAGATCAGCCTCAGCATTAGATTCTCGTAGGAGGCAGGCCCTACTGAGAAGGGCCCATGCGAGGGATCGAGGTTGCAGCTCTTTATGAGAATCTGATGCCTGGTGATGTGAGGTGTGATGCTGGCGCTGGGGGTGGCCGCAAATACCGGTGAACGTGAGCAGTGAGGCTGGACTGCACAGAGACCTATAAATCAACGGCTTGCAGACTCACATCAAAACCCTGTCAGTGAGCAGCCAGTAAGTTGATGGACTTCAGCTGCACAGCTGCATCTGGGGGAGGCTTTAAATCAGAAGCCAAATCAGCCGGGCATGGTAGCGCATGCCTGTAATTCCGGCTACTCGGAAGGCTGAGGTGGAAGGATCGCCGGAGCCCAGCAGGTCGAGGCTGCGGTGGCCGGGAGTGGCCACTGCACTCCAGTCCAACTCAAAAAAATAAAAAATAAATAAATAGATAAATAATAAATCAAAAGCCAACACTTATTTCAGTCCGTGTGTAGCCTGCCCATTATTTTATTTACCACTGCCATCTACGCCTCTTTTTGTATGGTGAGTTATATAATTATTTCATTTTTTTCATTACAGTGTAATAATAACAGAAATAAAGTATACAATAAATGTTATGCACTTGAATTATCCTGCAACCATCCCCCCAACCTGCCAGTCCATGGAA